AATTTGACGGACCCTATTTCTAGGTTTAGTGCACAACTTTTAATATCTGAAATTTTTAGAAATTGACAGCATTGTTGAATTCTCTCACTGAAGAGTGTCAGGCTTTTTAGATGCTTACATCTAGATCCAAAGGATTGTTCGTCTTTGACATGTTGCTTCATGTAGAGCTAAATGATGGATCTCTTCAATCTCCTTAGTTGTCAGACAGGAGTTACTCCATGTGCTTTCTGATGTACCTTCTACCAGTGCACTAATCACGCTTTCCCCATGCAGTGGTCACCGAGAGATGCACTTCCAGCACCAATTTCAACTGCTGTGTATTCCTGTGATGGTTTATTGGTGTATGCCGGATTTGTTGATGGTGCTGTTGGAGTTTTCGAATCAGATAGCCTGAGGCTTCGTTGCCGGATTGCATCCACTGCCTACATAAGCCCATCCATTGCTAGGTATGAAATTTTTACAAGTCCTGCATAAATGTAGCCTAGATCTAATTATGACTGATGGCAAAGATATTAGTTGTCTAACCTTCTTTTGCATAACTAAATGATGATGTAATTAGGGTCTAATCATGATAGCTAAAAGGATTTGTGATTTAAATTATATCGAAATATGTTTCCTTTGAATAAATGTTCCATTGCCTTCCTATTCTTGTTTATGTAGGTTGGATTCTTCTTTTTTTTTTTGCTTAGATTTGTGTAAGCTACAACATTTTCTCTGACTAAATCAGTTGCTATCGAATCTGTTTATCTTATGTATTGAGAGGATAATGTGTCGTATTAAGAAAGATGCAACCCATAACTTTTAAAAACAGCCTTCTAAATGCGTGCCAATGATATTTTTATTTTTATTTCTTATAGAACATTAGATTATCATGAACGACCAGCGAGTTAAGCAATTTGGAAGTCACTTAATCGCTGGTCAATTTCACTTTGATGCCTTATAGGAGACTCAGAATTATGTATTCACCCTGATGAAGTATGTTTTCTCGTTTTATCTTTCCAGTCCTGGATCAGTTCATCCAATGGTGATCGCATCTCACCCATCCGAACCCAATCAGATAGCACTCGGGATGAATGACGGTGCAGTTCATGTGGTAGAGCCATCTGATCCAGACTCAAAATGGGGTGTAGCCCCTCCCCAGGAAAATGGAGCTCTCCCGTCCTCCTCCAATCCTGCTTTAAACAATAGTCAGGCATCAGAACCCCCTCCCAGGTGACTAACTTCGCTTTAGAACAATGATAGTTATATACCTGAAAGACATGGTATGGTAGGAGAAAGCATAATAGCCACCTCAGAGTCACAAGTGCTCTCTTTTTGTTTCTAGTAACTTGTGGTTCTTGTAAAGCTCCTCTTATCTATTTGGTACTAGAAAGGGTGGGGATAGATGTGAGATGTAATATATATAGCCTATGCTGAAACTTGGTATTGCTTAATTTTGGCATTCCCCTACAACGTTGACGTTGTCGTCGATCGATCGAGTTTTTCAAGTTAGTGGCTACTGTCAGAGAATGCGAATGCTGGACTAGTGATTCTATGGCCCCTACCATGGATTTCTTGACTTCTCTTCTCATATACAAGTTTCTCACCAAAATGATAATGCAGGACTTATTTCAATTTAATGCGGAATTGGTGTGACATCTATTTTACGTTCTAATGATTTGTTAAACAGGGATTAGCAGCTGACCCTTTCTTTTTACCATTTTGTTGCTGAAACTTTGATTCAACTATGGTCTCATTTTGGCTTAATTGGTAACTGAAACAGGTCTCCAGATTTGTATGTGAGCACATTAAGATGAGATGCGATTTCTTTTCCTGAGCTTAAATTTTATTGTGTGACGTGAAGTGTATCCATGCCATTAAATTAAGTGGAACAATGTTGGGAATAGAGAATCTATTACATGAGGGACTATTGCTGTGTGATAACCTATTCAAATCTTATGACAAGTCTACGAGTCTCAGCTCAGCAGCTCAACAGGAAACTAACAACTATGAGTCTCCATAAAACTCTGTTCCAACCAAACATCCTTCAAATGTAAGGGCACTCTGAAAAAGAAGCAGATGAATAAAGACCAAGATTATCTTAGGAAAGTTAAGCAACAAGGAGACAAACTATATATCTGGCAATTATGGGTAAAAATAAAATGTTGAATTATGTGAGCAAATAAAGTCGAATTAGCAAGGCATAAAACTTAGGTTCAAATCAGATTTTGATACAGAGCTCCTCCTAAGACAGACCAGCCTCCTAAGAATTAGGCTTCTGGTATTCACCTTCATTTGAGTTCCCTAATTTAAGGCAAAAATTGGCTTCCAGCAAATAGAGGGTGAACCTTGGCATCATAGTAAGACTGCTCCTTTGCAAACTAGGTGAAAGTTGAGCAATCAAATAATAACCTTTATGCTTCCAAAAGTAAGGCCATGTAAATTGACCCATCCAGATTCCAGATTGGCGAGAACCTTTCCTTTTATGCTCAGCTTCTAAATGGTATCACCCCTAATCCTTGATGCTTCAGCCAAAACAAGGAATACCAGAAGCCAGACCTCAGTGTCATCATTTAGCAGGAAGAGAATCGATAGAATTAGAGGAGGTTCCGAACATTTGCACCACTTGCAAACATAGAATGCTGATCTAATATTTTTTTTGAACTCAAAATCCTCATATAGATTCCCAACAAATAATGAATTTAAATTTCCAACTGCATAATGCTGATCTAATATCTACCTACGTAAAGTTCTCACAACTTACATCAATTAATTCTGAGAACCATCAGTATAAATTCCAAAATAATCTTTCAATGGCATCATAAAAAAAAAAGGATCTTGACGAATGGCACTGAAAAATCATCTACCAAATCATCCAAAAGACTTCAAATTAATCCAAAAAACTTTCAACTGGTTTTCGAATTCCAAACATTTTCACAAGATATATAACTGACTAACTAGAATAAGACAGATTCAAGTTTCCACCGCTATAATAGACAATATCACGTAGCAATTAAAAGAAAGCCAACATCGAATCGATGACTTCTGAATCGAACGAAACCCGAAATGGTTTTAGGATAGAACAAAAGACGACGCGTCGCGCACAGACCGGCAGATCTCACCGTAATCCGATGTCCCTTCATCCTCGGCTCCGTCGCAGTGGGTTCAAGCTGGGTTTTGTGCCGGTCGCTTGAAGGGTTCTCGAACGAGTTCAACGCGAAATGGAATAACGCCAACAGAAACTAAAACCCTAATTTCAACGGTCCAGATCACTTGATGGATGGTCGACAACGTGCGAATTTTGTCGTGCTGTTGTGCAGGTGATGGAGATGGTTAATTACATTTCCCCTCGAGTTATTTATAGCATTCCGATCCTTACATTTTACAAAATTAAATAAAATATCTAAATTTATTTATCTTAATACCGCCAGTTTTATCAATAAAAATAAAAAAAATAAATTATAAAAAATATAATTTTAACGTTCTAGTTAGTGGTGACAGACGACGTCAGTGATGATAGATGACGATATGCTGAGGGTCATATATGACTATTGTGGATGAAAAGAGAGACAACGAGGAGTGAGAGACACTCTCTATGCGTCAATGCTTACACAATTGTCAAGTGATGAAAAAAATCACAAACGAGGCGGCGACTCTCCCCAAGGTCGTTTGTGACCACTTGTAATCGATCTAGAAGCTATGTACGGAGCTGGAGGAGGAGAGGAGCATGATGACGTCAGACAAGATGGAGGCCATGTCGATGATCCTCCAACTCCTTCGCAAGAAGGCTGAGGTCTAGATGGAGGTGTGCCAGTTCAAGTGCTTCATCGAGGAGAAGATGACGTGTGACTAGCAAGAGATCGCCACCCTCAAAGATCTCCTCCTGAAGTATAACGAGACCATTATCCCCCTCTTCTATAAGGTTGAAACCTAACGCCACCGCCTCTTCAACTCTGACATTGACATTGGTGTTTTCAATGCCCCTACATCCAAGCTAGAGTCTCCAAATGAGGCCACCACTATCGACGCCCAATTCAATAATTGGTGATTGTCGGCATGAGAAATTGAATTGGGAATCAGTAGTAGTGGCCTTATTGGAGACTCTAGCTCGGATGTAGGGGCATCAGAAACATCAATGTCGGAGCTAAAGAGACGATGGCGGTAGGTTTTGATCTCATAGAAGCGGAAGATAATGGTCTCGTCATACTTCAAGAGGAGGTCCTCGAGGGTGGGGATATCTTGCTAGTTATGCGTTGTCTTCTCCTCAATGAAGCGATTGAACTGGTGCACCTCCATTAGGACCTCAAACTTCTTGCGTTGGAGTTGGAGAATCATTGACATGACCTCCATCGTGGCTGACGTCGTCGTGCTCCTCTTCCTCTCCGGCTCCATACATAGCTCTTGGATCGACTGTAGGTGGTTGCATATGGCCTTGGGAAGAGTCGTCGTCTCGTTCGTAATCCTTTTGCCACTTGCCATTTGTGTCGGCGTCGATGCATGGAGAGCGGCTCTCACCTTTCACCGCCTCTCTCCTTATCCACGATAGCTACCTATAGTCCTTAGTTGTGGTGTCGTCCATCATCAATTAGAATATTAAAATTATATTTTTTATCTTTTAATTTTATATTTTTATTAGTAAAATCGACTGTGTTATGATAAATAGATATAGATATTTTACTTTCCTAATTAAAGTCATCATAAATTGTTTAGCTAATGTATTGAAATTGACAGGATGTCATCACCTATGCTACCTGGAGATTCGTGACTGATCCGAGATCGGACAGATTCCCGTCCCCCAACTTTGCTGCCTCGCATAACTTGCTTCTCTGTAGCCCGTCCGTTCAACAATGAACGGTGACGATTCGCGGGTGTAGCCCGCGGCCTGTTTCACCCATTTCGGGGAAACCCAGCAAGCGATCCCTGACGGAGACTCCTCCCTCGTTGGTGTCCAACTGGGTGGTTATTGGTGGGTCCCGCACGTAACATACGTTGGGTCAGTGACTTCTCGGTGACTCCATTCTTCTTCTTTGTTTGCATCTCCAGCTTGTTCTCTGCCCCCTTTTCCCCCTCGGAGTCGGCAACTCGATCGCTCTATCTGGCAGCGTAGGGGAGTTGATGATCGAGTGATTGAATCCCAACGAAGGCCTTCCCTGCGGGTGGTGAGTTCAAATTCGACTCTTTAATTACCTTAATTTGCTATATTTGACTGTCCTTGATCTGCTTTGTTTGGGATCGCTAGATTGTTTGCATTGGTGGCCCTTTGTGTTGATCTCAGTTTGACAATTGGATTCTTTCGCCCTCGTGGTAGATTTTCTTATTCGTTTGTTCCTCCTTTGGATTTTGTTAGGTTACTGACGTTGATTTCGATCGTAAAATCGATTCTTTGGGGAAAAAAAGTGTTTTTTTTTTTATCGGGTGTAGCTTATATTGGTTGCTCACGTAAATTATCTTCTTCGATTTCCCTTAGTGGTGATCTCCTGACTATCTGGAACTGGTAATTTAGACTTCAATCTTTTACATATGCCTTTGATTGTTTACTGTGGCAGTGTAGCCTCCAGTGAATTGAGACGGGAATTTTTCCCAATTGTTTGGAATCCGAATCCACTGTTCTCAAGTTAACATCGATGAGATGAGTACTTATTATGCTTAATGACCATGAAAATTTTCGCATTTACTTTATTCCAAATCTTAATATCAGGATGATGGAAGAAAACTCAATAATCCAAAAGCGACAATTTTCTATCCCTGACATCAGAAATTATCAGTTCTCGTATTACAGAAGCAATTGTATATGTTTTCTTTAAGTAAAGTTGAAATCTTGCTGTATTTAGTGACAGAAATTTTAATGCTGCCTGTCGTGTCAACTTGCAATTTGTTTGAACAAATAAGACAACTCTTATTCATTTTTGCAGTGATTGAGGAGCACTGCAAGCATTGGACCTATTTCTCTTCACATGGGGGAGTATCACAATCCAGGGAACAATTTCGTCGATGAGAGAGCTCCCCCCAAATTAGACAATATTCGGAAGGTCTCGGTCATCCCCCTTGTCTTCCTTATATTCTATGAGGTATCTGGTGGCCCCTTTGGGATAGAGGACAGTGTTCAGGCTGCTGGCCCTCTTCTGGCTATACTTGGCTTCCTGATCTTTCCCTTCATATGGAGCATTCCTGAAGCACTGATCACTGCTGAGATGGGTACCATGTTCCCCGAAAATGGAGGTTATGTTGTGTGGGTCTCTTCAGCTTTGGGCCCTTTCTGGGGTTTCCAGCAAGGTTGGATGAAATGGCTTAGTGGTGTCATTGACAATGCTCTGTATCCAGTTCTTTTCTTAGACTATTTGAAGTCTGGTGTTCCAGCTTTGGGAGGTGGGCTGCTGAGGACTTTGGCAGTGTTGATACTTACAGTTGCACTGACTTACATGAACTATAGAGGATTGACCATAGTTGGCTGGATGGCTGTGTTTCTTGGGATCTTTTCAATTGCTCCTTTTATTTTGATGGGGTTGGTGGCGATTCCGAAACTCAGACCATCAAGGTGGTTGGTGGTTGACATAAACAAGGTCAACTGGAATTTGTACTTGAATACGCTTTTTTGGAATCTTAATTATTGGGACTCAATCAGTACTTTGGCAGGAGAGGTGGATAACCCTAAGAGCACCCTCCCGAAGGCTCTGTTTTATGCACTTATCTTAGTTGTTTTTGGCTATTTATATCCTCTTCTAGCAGGGACAGGAGCCATCCCACTTGATAGGGAGCTATGGACGGATGGTTACTTTTCCGATGTGGCCAAAATTCTTGCTGGGGTGTGGTTGAGATGGTGGGTGCAAGGGGCTTCAGCTCTATCCAACATGGGCATGTTTGTTGCTGAAATGAGCAGTGATTCTTATCAACTTCTTGGAATGGCAGAAAGGGGTATGCTTCCAGAGTTCTTTGGCAAGAGATCCCGCTATGGGACTCCTCTCGTGGGGATACTGTTCTCTGCTTCTGGCGTTCTTTTGCTGTCTTGGATGAGTTTTCAAGAGATTGTTGCTGCTGAGAATTTCCTGTACTGTTTTGGAATGATTTTGGAGTTTGTGGCCTTCATAAAGTTACGACTGATCTACCCGAATGCTCCTCGGCCTTATAAAATTCCTTTAGGGACTGCTGGTTGCATTCTGATGATTATCCCCCCTACTATCTTGATATGTGTGGTTCTGGCGCTTGCCACATTGAAGGTCATGGTTGTAAGTGTTACAGCTATGCTTATTGGGTTCATCCTGCAGCCTTGTCTCAAACATGTGGAGAAGAAAAGGTTGTTGAAGTTCTCTGTGAACTCTGACCTCCCTGATTTTAGGGAAGCCCAGTGTGAAAATACTGTGGAGTCCTCCTTGATCGATTAGGTCAGTACCATCACACAAGTATGTTACCCTGAACTTTTATGTACTGTAATGAGATTGATGTTGCAGCAGTGCTCAATTGTGCATGCAAGCAAACTTCTCTTTGCATCTTGCTGCCAAAGTTACTCTAGTTTTTCCGTCTCTGTAAGATTTTATCTCAAAGAAAACATCTTAAAAATTTGTGTGTCGAGAACATAACCATGCAGACTGCTCTTGTTCTGCCACTTCCTGTAATGCAATGATCTTGTCTAAGTTAGTCAGCAATCCTTTTGTGTACGACAATAATATGCAGCGTCCTTTGCATACGACAGTGATATGCAGCCTTTTTCCGCTGTATTGGTTAAATTGTGAATACACATACTTAGTTTAGCAGATTCTTTTGTCATCACAACAGCTGATGCTTTTGGCCTCTGTATGTATGTTTTGGGATGTAAGTAGCTAAGTTTCGGCTGTTTCACTGACTGATGGAAGACATTGCAACATGAAGAGGCTCTTGTTTGTTTGATCCAAGAGTTCTGAAGGCACCTCGGTCTCTTGGCTATTAGGTATTTTTATGCAAGTTCGAACTTCTATGGCTTTTGATGTAGTCCATCCTTTTCCTACTGTGCTTTTGCTGCTGCCTCTCCTCCCCACCTTCGAGTCTGCCTCTTCTCCTCTTCTCTTTCGTACCGTCTGTCTCTTCTCCTATGTGACTTATCCTCCTTCCGCCCTTTGTCATACTAGTGTTAGTACATTAGTACCTAAATAGGACGGTTGGCACCGACAATACCGGTCCGACACGGATCCGATGGTCGGGTAGGATATTGCTTTCCTTGCCTCTGTGCTCTTTAGGCTCAATGCATCGAACTAAACATCTTTAACTGGATGCTTACATCTTGCATGGTAGATGAAAGCATCGGAATTCGATCGAGTGGTTCGTTAGATTGGAACAAAATTGGAATCAGGCTTGGACGTTTTGGTTATGGTTCGAATCGATCAAATTAAAAAAAAAAATAATAATAATAATAATAATAAAATAGCCAATGGTCAGACCATTGACCCGATGGTTTGGGTCAATGGTCGGTGGACCCATGGTGGTAGATGACTAATTTACCCCTATCAAGGAAACGATTATTTTCAGGAGTATTTTGATTGTTTCATAATTCAAAAAAAATAAAAAATAAATTTATCAATATTTTACTTAATTCAATTTTTTATGTTATTACGTGTATGAAAATGCATCAAAGTGGAATTTCGATCAAGTAATATTATCAATGTTTTGTTGCTTTAAATTATTTTTTTATTATTAGTACCGAGGCAATACCATTTGCAACAATACTCGAACTATTGGATCAACCAATAAAGCCTCAAATGTGAAGATCAACACTCAAATAAAACTTTGGGCTTCGATTTCATTCATGATGATGCATTCATCAGGCACAGAGTCTCAGCCCTGCGGGGAATTGCTGTCTCTGATTAATTACATCATCAGCTCGACTACGAAATCCTATGATGGAGTTTTACTAAATAGGACCATAGAAATACGTATCGTATGATATTAAAGCTTGAGATATAAAGTAATTTTAGCCTCGACATGTTCTGAAAGCTGTGGGGGCAATTCATCCCGATGCGCCTGCAGCTGTGGCTCCTTTTTCGTCTTCTCGTTGCTCCTCTTTCGCAAACTCCTCGATCAACATACGTTGCCTCTGCGTCAAATTCCTGCCGAAGCAAAGACAGTTTTACCAAGTAAATCCTAGATCTCTCCATGATGTACACCAAATGAAGGTTCAAATTATATTAACAAGAAGGTTAAAAGAAACTTACACTGGTATGTTCACGTTAAAATGAACATATTGGTCCCCGTAGGAACTGTTCCTCGTCTTTATTCCTGCGAATCAAATGCTCAGAATAAGATTTGATACTAAACCTACATCATTTTACTTTCTCTCGAATAGGGATGGTCAAACAAATTAGCATCATTTTTGTGTTTATCAGCAATGACAATCAACAACCTCCCACGAAAAGGACCAAGAGGAAATTGATTGAATTAATCTTAGCCATGCTTACCTTTCCCCCTCAGGACAACCTTCTGAGCAGGTTGAGTACCAGGCCTAACCTGAAAAGTAGAGAAAGGGCACCGGTAGTGTGATATTCGTTGAATGGTTAGAGGGAGTTCTAATTGATAATATTTCAGAAATGGCAACAAATACAATCTGACCAACCTTAAGAACTACATCTCCTGTGAGAGTTGGCACTTGAATTGTTCCTCCTAAAATTGCCTGAAGATATGACATTCAATCAACAGCAGTTTAGATGAATAACACATATATAATCAGTAAAAAGCTAGTTGTTACAACTGCTTAGACACTGTAGTCCAAGACCACGTTGTCAGAGTTCATATATTAATGATACAGGAACTATAAATAGTTCCTTAATAACATCTGCCATATTCATATGCACATGACCAAATGCCCCATTGTTGCAATTATTCATTTACTCTGGGCACCGAAATTTGATCTGTTGCAATTGTTCCTTTCTCTCCTTCAAAGACAGACTAAGCATTGAATATAACTTTTTTCTTCAGAAAACTATTTCTAAAGTCTGGCAAATACAATGTAAATAAAAAACACAGTTAATAAATGATGACGAGACCATGACTGCTACCACATTCAATCAGACTGTTTACTATTATCAGATATCGTAGGATTGGTTTCACACACAGGGTTTTTCAATTTTACAATCTTGATCTACAACCAAGTCATATTGAACACAATTTAAAAACCAATCAAACTTGATCGGTACAGGCCCATAATTACCAGTCCAATAGTATAATAGTATGCAAACCACTGGTTTTCGCTCAATTTTAGTTCAGACTGGCTTACCGTTTAATACAGTCAAAGCCTTAATAGTTAAAACCAGATGTACATGACAACAAGCCTACCGCTCAGTATGCCCATTATTTTTAACCTTTTAGCAGTTGTTAGTTTTTTCTCTAATTTTCTTTGTATAGACCTCTTATGCTCTCTTTCCTCTCTCTTTCATGTATATCTCTCACCCCTCCACCTCATCCTCCTCTCCGTTGCCCTGAGGTGTTACCACCTCCACTCGACTTCATCTCATAGCCACTGCCTCCCACAAGGATTGCCGCTTCATCTCCAGTATGCCTTATCCGCCTCCAATGTAGTTGCCTCCTATATTGTCATTGTGTCATCTCATCCTCCTCTTCCCCTTTATTGCCACCTCCATCTCATCCGCACCTCTTCTACCATTTCCTCTCCCTTTTGCCAATCCTCCTCTTCTCCTTCTCCTCCCCTCTTCACTCCATCTCTTTGTGGTCCAAGTGGCACCAACTAGTACCGAGGTGTCCAATGCAATTCCATTTCCACTGCCAATCGAAACTACCACCAGGCTGAGATTTAAAACCTTGACATCAAGGATCTTGAATCACCTCCCATTGAAGGCATAATTTATGGTATGAGTCTATGAGATTAGTTTCTTATTTAATATTTCATGTTTAGGACTTTAAATTTAGACATGTTTTCTTAATGCACAATTGTAATCCACTTTTAAAGCATATTTCAATCCCCAATATTCACTCAGTCAAAACTTCTATTTATTGTTTATCAACTTATTAGGACAAATTTACTCACACCCTAAACCCCCTTTTTTTCTAGACAATCTAAGTGTCAAAACATACGAGTATGAACCAACACATGGTATGCCCCAGCGTACCAAGACCATACCAGTCCACCAGTATGGTTCTCGGAAAACAATTATTATGTAACTAAAAATCCAAGTGTGCTACAAGGTACATATGAACATAGTAGTAAATACCTGGGTGATACTTAAGACAGCATCAACATGAATGTCTGCCTTCTCCCTCCTAAAAACAGGGTCCTCCCTGACCTGCAATAAAATTTCCACGTTTCAGTAAATTAACTTCAGCTCATCTTTTGATAGGGAGAAAAATTGCTCACCTTTATAGTAACATAAAGATCACCAGGTTGATTGCCATCAGGATCTGCTCCCCCACTTCTATAAACTTTTATAGTCTCATCGTCATCCACTCCTGCATATAAATGTAGCAAGAGAAATAAAGTTTACAAATGGTGGACCATTTAAAAGGTATATCAAACGTCCTCTTTTTTCACTACAGATTCTTTGTAAAATTGCTAAGTGGTTAAGATTCATAGACATCTAATCAATCAGTTAGTTACAGAAATATATTTTTCAATTTTAATATGATATTCAAAATTTTCGATGGAGTTAAAGTCACACATGGGCAAGAGTTACAGAACTATTTATAAATGTAAAAAACCTTAATACTACATGTTATAGCAGACAAGCAGACACAAAATTGGCCTTCGCTACTCTCTTGCTACATTAGTCAACCAAGAAGAAATAGAACAAAGAACAAGGGAGAAACCTGGGTGGATGTGCAAATTCCAGAAGTAGAGGAGATTGACAAGTTTATTAATCATATAGCAATCAAACTGTATCTTAAGAATATAGCATCAAAATCAATAAGTTACGTGTCAACTAGCTTTCATCTTTCAAACGTACCAGGCATCACATCCAGCTTGACCGACTTTACACCGCTCACAACTCTTTGTCCTTTGCATGATTTGCATAGGTTCTACAAGAAGGAAAATATTTTGTTTGGCCCTCATCAGCAGGCATATTAACAAGGATGGCTCAGAACAGGCAATAGAACTAAAACTTGATGAGAATGACCACCTATCATATGAATCTAATTTAAGAATGCTTTGCAGCTAATATAAATGCCAAGCTGTCTAAATCCTACCAAGGACTAAACACTGCTTTTTATGGAACTTGTGAGGTACGAGTTTTCAAAAAGGTGTAGACAAAAATTTCTTACGACTGCATAAGATGATGATGTCATAAGCAATGCAGATTTCCCGCAAGAATTTTCAGGTCTCATGCTGAAACCATCTTCCTTTTAGGTTTCAGGCATGGCAAAGCATCCAATGCTTGGTTACTTATTACCAGTCAGTGCACAGTCTTGAAGGAAAACCTCAATCGGCTAGGAATCATAAATAGAAACAAAACCTGGCAGAAGAAATTCTCATGGTTTCTTGTCTGAAATTATCATGACATATCCAACATATACACAATGGTTTAAGAAAACTGCCATTACTCAGAAACAGCTGGAAAAGTATATACTTATATTACTCTATATTCTTCCTCTAGTGCTA